ACACATACAGAGCAATGAAGCATGTTTATTTACATCCATAGCTGATTACTTTAAAATGATTGTTTCCCTAACATTCCAGCTACCGGTAGGTTGTCCGATTTCACATGCATGTACAGTATTTCAATGGTTGTCTTTCAATGAATACCGTTCTGCTAAATTAAAAAGTCTTTCCCTTAATTTAGTCAGTATTAAGCGAGTTGACTGCTCTGGGGCAGCAGATGTCGTGCGTGCACATCGGGTACTGATAAAATGCAACTTAAAAAGAAAGGTCACATCAAAAATCATGCGCAGCGCATATACACTCGCATTTTTTGGCGCGGAGCAATTAATGAAATGCTCATTTACTGATTGTGCATTCAGGTTGTTGATGACTGGCTTTGCTAATGTACCAGCATCATTTTAGAATACAGACGCACACATGTACGCAACTAGCCGTACAAAAGCCATACACAATGTCAAATTTTCCACAGGTTTGTGTCAAAACATGGATGTGGCCAGCAGGCATCATTTTGTACATAAGTCAGCACTATAGTTTTTATATATACATGTAGCTCTATGCTTTGGATTCATCTTCAGCTCTAACTAAAAAAAATTCCCCCTCAGGATATAAAAAACAATTCTGGCCTACCAGAAAAGGGAGAGGGTTCCCTCGTTTTCTCAAAATGGCGCAATCTAGATTCAGAATTCGCATCTTGGCATAAACAGAAAAAAAGCCCTTTTAAGCTTGTTATAGTTGGGCTCTGAAGACAAATGACACTGCATTCTATTTGGATGCTTCCATATTTATTTGTACAGATAAAATCTGAGAAAACATGTTTTCCTTAGAGGTGCTCTTTAAACCAGGGCTTCCAAAGGAAGGAGTGTAAAACTCATGAAGTTGGACACCAAGGCCAAAGCCTGCCTTTGGTTTGGAAAAATCCCACGGACAAAGCAATGTGCACACTGTTCATGTCATCCATTATGCCACGAAATGACATACATGTATACACCGTACATGTACAATGTTTTTCGGTGTACCGTCGACAGACTTTGTACACCCGATACAACAGCTGATGGTGCAGAAACTATGCACAAAACATCAGTTGTGATGCAACCTACATGTACGTGTACACTGTATGATGTGTACACGTACACATATGCACTGACAAAACTATTATACACGTAGGTTTCATAACACCACACAGGCAGCTATGATTCCTCCCTCCTGCCTGTCTCAATTACATCACTCCATTCAGCCTGTTGAGATTTCACTGCGTAGGTAACGGTACATGTGATTTGGAAATGCAGAAATTCATTTACCTATATACTGTACGTAATGTATACTGTATGTACACTGTACATTACTTAATATAAAAATGAACAAAATGGGTCTGTAGAAAAAACACTCCCTTTGAATGGAAACCATCTTCATGTACACCTTTCTGTTTAGCAACATGTACATGTATGTATAAAATACATCTGGATCATTTCCACGACAGCCTCAGGTGCCACTTGCCAATATGACTAGCAGTACTTGCACTGTATTCCCAAGAGCCAAGAAACGTGTGCCCAGCTACGTACACAGTATCACACGTACGACTCTCCGCAGCGAGAGGTGATCATGGCAACACACCGAATCAATGGCAAGTCCCACCTGGGGAATTTGCTAATCCCTCAGTAAGAGCAAATAGCAACGTCTGTCAAATATCCGTCAACTGATCAATGTTAAATTCACAGTGTACATGTACGAATATGACGGTAGTTTCCATTTTCGTATCTGTTTACTTTTTTTTATTATAGTACAATAATAGCCTACACTGTACCTTGTAATGAAATGTTCTTGCACCCTGTTCAAGTTTTATTTTTCCCTGCAGTGATGTCTGCAGTAATATCAGGAATACGGGTACATTTTAATCTACAGTAAGCCAAAATGCCTGACGCACTGTGGAGAATCATGACTATTCAGATATATTTAGAAAGGATTTTGAAAAGAAAAAAAAGTATGACACTGAAAGTGGCTATCTGATGAACAAGGTAACAAACACGATCGATATCCATATCAAATTTCTAGTCAACTATACAAAGTAAGTTCTCATTACAGTATCAAACAGATACCGCAGACACATAAATACATGTACACGTGCCTAACACATATCATATTCCAAGCAGACAGATGCATACTACATGTAGTTGTATGGCAAGTTTCATGCATTGTATGTGTACACGTACATGTATGTACATGTATATGAAAGCAGCTACAATTGCCAATCTCACATTTGCAGGCAGGATACGTGTAGTTTACACTGTTCATTTGGCAATCTCTCTTTGTGCTTGAATCTCAATCAACAACTGGCAAACAAGACTTCCCTTTCCGAAAACAGTAATCTTCTCACACGTGCTGTACAGTACATGTGATTTTCCCGAACTTCTTGGTATGCTCGGTACAATGCACATGCAACACTGTACACCTCTACATAACATGTCCTGCACTCTGCAAAGATACATGTAAAATATGGCTCTGTTTCCAATTACTTATGGCATGTGAAAACAGGGTCGGTGCACGAAGTACATGTAGGTACATGTAGGAATTTTTCACATTTTAATACCGATTCAGCATGCGGCTAATGAAGGGCTCACTGGTTAAAAATAAAAACAGCAAAAGAGGTCAAGTGGCACTTTGTTTCAAGTGAAATGTGCATAATCATATTAAAGCTCAATGTGAACATTCAAATGCAGTTTCATATAAATCACAGTGGCTACAGAAAATACTAATCCTCCTACTGCAAAAAAAAGGGATGTGTTGGAAGGACACCAGCCTAGCTGACAGTGTGAATGTTTGTTTGATCACCAGCACTACAGAAGGGTACATGTACCGTAAGTGTGATGCATCATGAAATTATTAATTTAAAAAAACAAGAGATGCACTCCAGTATAAAAAAAAAAATTGCTTGACATACACATATTTGCTCGTCACTATGAAACTGTCACTTTTGTGATAAATGTGGGTAGGGGCTGTGCGGGAGAAAACGGAGGGAAATACTGGAACCATTCCCACCGTAGCCATGCCTCAGGCAATCACGCGTATGGACCAGAGAGTGCCTGGCCAGTTTCCGACAGGATGAGCACAAAATGCAACACCACGGCAGCCACTGTGTGCACATTCTCTCTTCACATTAGCAGATTACAAAAGGTGTGCATCTAAGCATAAAATGAGAAGAAAGGTAAATGTACCACTGCTAGTGTACAACATGGCTTTTACTGCTCGAGTAAACGTAACGGTGCTCGTCGTGCATAATTAGCATAAAATGTATACATGTACATGTAGGGTCATCCTACAAAGCCACATGTACATGTACTAGGTACATACATTTTGAGTAATCAGGCACTGATGTAATTGTCCACCCATGACAATATGCAACTCTCAAAAGCATTTATTAAATCAAATAGAAGGATCTGGGCGTAATTGTAATATGAAGCAAGAATAAAATCAATCATCTGGTTTTTCAATACAATGTTTGTAAGAATCCTATACAGTACAATATGAGAATGCTGTAAAACACAGCAACTAGCAGTAAGTGTACCCGGTATGTCAGACCATGCTACACAGTAATACATGCATGTATGTACCGGTATGTATGTATGTACTGGTACGAGTACAATGTGCACCAACATATGCATGAATTAACGTCAACACTGAGGTCACTTTTCCAGGAACCATCATGAAACCTCTACAAAATCTTCTGCTTTTCACGACACCGATGGCACATTCTCTGTACTTCAACTTTTAAGGGGCACCCAGCCCCAAGATAAAGAAACAGCAGCTGGGTTCTGCCTGCCTCGGTCCCGGAAGATTCTCCTACATGTACCAGTATGCTGCACAAACACATTATGAAGACTTGCAGAGACCTGGGAAGGTTAGTATCAAATTGAACGATTCTGCTGGTTGAGAACAAGGCCAAAGAATTTGGGCATTACAAGCTACGGTACGGGCCGTACACTACCATCAATATCAGAGTCTGCATAATGAATTCAGGTGGACAAACTTCAACGACCATCTGGACTTGGCACAGAGGAAAATGCGTACCGGTTCCAAGTCGCAAAGGCCGTTTCCACGACGGACACGCACACACAATTGTTGTAGAATGTGCCTGACCACACTGCAATTAACCTCAATTACTACTGTAGATGGGGTTTGGCACGTTCACACAGGTCCACTGATACTTTGATTACACTGCATACATGTACATGTATACAGGTACATGCACATACTGTACACGTACATGGAGGAACATGTCCATGAATTTACACATGCACAATGAGGAAGGAACGGACAGATTACTTGTAAAATTATGCATTTATCAGTACATACACAATGGTTACCATTGAATGACAGCACTTTGTCCAAGACAAGAATACATGTATTTCTATCCTATAAGGGCATCTGTTGTATTTTCTATGGTTCTCATTTCCAATCAACCCTCATTTTCAGCTCTGACTGAGGAAAAAAGATTTTTGTTTTATGCATCCAGCAGTGTCTGGAATTGACCACCAAGGAAAAACATCAGAATAACATGACAAATTTAGGCATTTTTGGGCTTAAGAAAGTAATCTTTTCACTCCCCCCCCCCTTTTCCCCTGAATTACCGATCCTCCCTCAAGGTAAACAACATATGAAAATCATTAAATGAACTACAGACACCCTAATAAAAGGAAGCAATGGGACAATGAGAAAAGAAGCCACAAGTGAAGTAGGCAACAAGGAATGAAGAAAGCACAAACAGACTGATAAATCAGGTTGATACATGTACATGTACATGTACATGTACATGTAAATCAAAAGCACTGCAGAAATACTGCACTGGCAAGATGCTGGCTGTCATTTAACATCCCAGCCCAATTAAGAATCATACTCTTACAACATTTTTATCAGGTACACCTGTCAGGTAGGAAATTAAACAAACAAAAACAAAAAACAAAAAAGACAGAGAAAAAAGAGAGAAAAGATACAGAGCTGGCCATACCTGAAACTTCTACGACATCGCCGGGCACCAGGTCCCGGGCGCGTATTCTCTGCACGCCGGACTTGTCCATGCGGATCACCTTGGCTATCTCGGGCTCGTATTCCTTCAATGCTTCGATGGCGCTCTCCGCGTTCCTCTCCTGAAATAGTGATGGAAGTAAAAGGCTCAAGTCAGTGTTAGACACAGTGACCTGTCAAGTACCCAGCCGTATGAACTGAAAGAGGCAACTGCCATCATAGGGGACGGAGGGTTCACATGGCAGAACACCAATAATGCTCTCTGCAGGTTCAAAGCTTGAATCCCAATACAGTCATTTCTTGTTCACTGAGATACCGATTACACTGAACCCAAGTCAGTCTCCCAGTGTGGTTATCACTGATGACATGACAAGCACTTTCATGTCTCCTTCTGACCTTTTGTGAAATAGTTGGATAGGTTCATCTTGACCCTTGGTGGGAATACCTGTACTCCACCCTTTTGAACAGCCCCACCTTTGTTGGGGACAAAGATTTACATCTACACAAAATGCATGGCACGACCAATTTTGAAAGATACATGTACATGTAGAAACCTAGGATTCTGAATGAAAATGTTGATTTATCAAGAAACCAAAGTACATGTGCCTTTGTACACAACCTCTCCTAGATAAATTCTTCGCAATCATTAAGTTCAGTTTCGACTTCAACAACTTCTGGAATTCTACTCTACACCACACACCAACACATTCGATACTTTGGTGCCATTGGTTACCATGGGTACGACTATTTTTCCCTTTTAAAAATACATACAAGCCGCCTCTATTTTTAATAAAATTGCTGTGACATATCACGCTTGCATTAGACATACAAGAAACTCTTCTTTCATTAATGGCTCTACGTGAAACTCTACCCGTAAACATTACAAGCCTTTCACAAGCTCGACATTCAGATGTGCCTGATCGGAGTGAACAATCGCACGGATTTTCATTAACTTGGGTAACCCGAATCCCGACTAGGATTTCTGCAACAGCAAATGCATTGTAAAGGAAGCATACAAGACCAGCACACAACGCATTTACTAATGAAAAAAAAAGCATCTTATATTTCAGCAAGCAGCTATGCTGACCTTGAGGAGGCATTGTCCACTTTTGAGTGCTGCATATTTTTAATGGTTGAAAAATTATTGACTTCATTCAAATGCGGGAACAAAAAATGTGAAGGGTGCAAGAATTCAGCCATTAAAATGAACGGGTCAGTGAATATCAATTAGGCACTCATTTGAGACTACATGCACACATACAATATAGCTGGTGAGAATAATGCAAGGAAAGACCATGGCCACGGAGCTGATGAAGGCGAGCAAGTTGCTGTACATGTACATGTAACTTAAGTACCACCATTCAAGAATTGCGATTATAATATACATGTAGCATCTGGTCAAATGTCTTATATGCAAGGTACGCATATACATACATGTATTATTAGTTATCACACGAGTGCAAGTGGAACACAGCAATACACACTTGTGTGTAGTGCATCTGTGTCCCGTAGTCCGCTCAGTTTAACAGACAGACGCTCCACATTATTCTGTGTTTCACAAGCATGAGCGTGATAATGCATCTATCTTGAAGCAAACTTGATGCGCAGCGAAGATGGCCTATGTGCGCGAACACACCACCTTTGATTTTAAACTAAATTTAGCAGTTGTGCGTTTTGCTTTTACTGTTAAAAGAGCGCAATGCATTGAGTTAGAACGGCGCATTACGCGGGGTTTGATATGAACCGTGCAACACAGTTATATGTCACACTGCTTTTTGCCATGGATCAACCAATCAGAAATGAGAGTTCAAGTTTGCCTGAAGATAAAGTGTACACTCACTCACTACAAGACTACTTTATAGTGTATGCAAAAATACCATTCAAATTCCTACACGGAAAAGTACCTTGAAGGGACGGCATCAACAATATGTATGCCCTCAAATCATATACTGACAAACTCTGAAGTGGCAAATGTACACTCACATGTGTGCCATGTTTTTGTGTGGAACAAGTTGAAAACCTATCAACAGTTCGATTGGAAAAATGTCCACCAATCAAACATTGCACGCATGAGGGGATTAATCCCTCCGAGCTCCATGTGCAGTACCGGTACATGCAGGATGTATTTCCAGGAATGTATTTTATTAGTCTATCTTGCATCCAATTTGAATGGGGCAACAAAATGAGCTAAATATAACAAAATCCATTGTGATAACAACAATGTGATTCAATCTAATGACCTGCACAGAGCATCACTGCTGACAGAGCGTGAAATTACATGTACTGTAGGTGAAACAAGTGGCCCAACTTGAATGTATTAAGCACAATTAATTCCATTTTGCCCTTCTCCACTTTTGATGTATGTATACAAGGTCACCTGAGAACACATTCTCAGTTAAAATGTAATAAGCACAAAACCCACAGTACAAACATGAACAGGATTTTGGGGGAAAATACCACGAGCGGTCAGAAAATGCCTAATGTCCCACTGTTACTTCAAGCTCTTTATACATGTACATGTACAATGTATGTATACATGTATGATCAAGAAAGAGTTCTGCTAGAACATTTCCCCCCTCTCCCAACCTAAAAACAAAATTAAACCCTGCCAGCACAGGTTGTACTCTTTGTGTGCACTGTGCAGTGTGAAAATATCGAGCTTCACCAAAAGAAATTCTCAAATACTCATGCTGTTCATAATGTCACGGAATGCGGTAATCAAATCTTTTCCAAACGTTTCAAGGCTTACCTGCCATACTCCGACTATTGCATTAGCTATCAGGATCAGAAGAATGACAAAAGGTTCTACAAACGCTGTGACTTTCTCGTCTTCGTCCTCCTCAAAAATGGCTAGTATCTGGTCAGAAAGACATGAGACAGAAAAAAAGTTGTAATACCTTCACTTCAAAGCCATCGTGGGCAGTTAACAAAAACCCGTTCTGATTGGTCAACGTGTTCATTCTAATGAATTCAGATGGCTTCACACTGCTATTATTTGGTTCTAATGGAAACAGAAGACTATCTGGCCCAGGCTTCTAGAAATGAAATGCTTTGAAAATACGACAGCCAACATGCTATTAAAAAAGAAAAAAAATGAGCAATTTATTTGTCTAGCACTGAAACTCCTGCAAAGTTTGCCAAGCAATTCTACTGAACCAGTATATGTGGGGATGGTACAACATGTATCGTACATTCATACATGTAAATGTACACTGTAGGCATCAGTCAGTTTTTTTTTCTGTGTTTGGCATAAATTGAATCTGTTACACATATCTGTGGACGTTATCAGTACGAGGTTCCCATTACAAAGTACATAAACATGTACATGTACAGTGTACATGTAGAATCCAACACAGTACCAGGACAGTCTCTGTCAAAAAATGGGTGTCATCTTACAGAGCTTTTTGCTCAATAAATTCTCCTTCAACGGGTATTCGGGGGATTCAGCGGGGAAAAATGAGGACATTCCCAATTACACGAGATCTTGTGCATTGTTTTTCAACTTGCAACGGCACGCTTGTAAATATATGTTCACAGTTAAAAAAATACAATAAGGATATAAACTGATCCAAGTAAAAAGTTGCATCCTGATAAAGGAGTGCAATGCAATGATTTAATGTGGATCCACAGTCTTTAATTTTAATGCATATGAACCCTCAGAGCCAGAATACTGTGTGGCCCATTCACAGTTGGGGGGGTGGATTCTGTGCCCTCCCCTTCCTAAATTCAGCTGTGCCAGACTTGATATTTTGAAACTTGGCATGCCCGTGAAGACACTTGTTATCATTATCAAAATAAAGTTTGAATTCAACCAAACATACATTTTTGTAGTTTTTTGTAGTTGCATGTACCTGCATGCCAGCCTGTAGCTGTACCTACATTGTACATGCCAGCCTGTAGCTGTACCTACATTGGTCAGCCTGTAGCTGCACCTACATTGTACATGCCAGCCTGTAGCTGCACCTACATGCCAGTCTGTAGCTGTACCTACATGCCAGTCTGTAGCTGCACCTACATTGTACATGCCAGCCTGTAGCTGCACCTACATGCCAGTCTGTAGCTGTACCTACATGTCAGCCTGTAGCTGCACCTACATTGTACATGCCAGCCTGTAGCTGCACCTACATGCCAGTCTGTAGCTGTACCTACATGCCAGTCTGTAGCTGTACCTGCATGCAAGCCTGTAGCTGTGCATGTATGCCAGCCCAAGTGCACTGAGCACTGCAGTACTGTGGAAAAAGTAGTTTTGGTTGACCAGTCTTAGAAAAATGTGGGCTGCACAGGAATGGTATGTTCAATTTTCACAAACTTGTGTCAAAATGACTGCGAGGAGTTGACTCTAAAAACTCACAAAAAAAGGCTCAGCTCCTGGCCAAAATACAAGCCAGCAATATTGGAAAACACATGTACATGTATGTCAAGAGGAGACAGACCCCCCTCCCTTCTTGAAGGGTTAAATCTTTCATACAGTGTATTAAAGCAAACGAACAGTTTCACAAGTCCCCAAAACTAAGAAAATAACACCTGCGCGGTATCAAACTGCATGAACATGATAAACACATGAGCCAGTACAGTTTTCAAGGGCACACAAAACATCAGACTTGTTGACAGCCATTTTACAGGTTGGCCAGTTATATGTGAATTTCTAGAACAAGACCAGTTCTGTGCAGATAAATCAGTAAGAAAAAAAAACCTTAACAGGCCTGCCGCCCCACACATCTCAAATGCAAATGTATCTGCCAGGCATGGTTAAGGCCCAGCCCTTCAACCCAACTTCCTTATTCTGGTATGGACATTAAAACAATTTGCTGCATCACCCTTGGAGTGGGGCGAGGGATTGCTTTCAGGGCCGCACGCCTTGGCCCAATTTGCTATTTGATTTGCCAAAGGAAAGCTGTAGCCACTGCATGGTAAACAGACAGGCTGCCATGGCAACGAGCTGTTCCCTGTTTTGCTCTTTGGGCCAGGGAGCGTTCAGGTATAAAACCAGTATACCATTTCTGTGGATATAGTCGAACCTCGTTAATAAGAGGGTCTTCAGACTTGGCAAATTACAATGTACCTTGTTGTAACAGGAACCTTGTATTATCAGGAATGAAAACAATGAAAAACAAAAGATAGGGACCCAAAAGTTTCCTTGTTGTTACAAGCAGAATCTTGTAGTAACAGTGCTCTTATTAATGAAGTTCAACTGTACAGACGACCGTACATACACGTACAGTATGAAATGTACATGTGTAATGCCATTGGATACATGTACACTGTAATTCAAATTCAAATCAACATCAAAGGGTACACTGTACCGGTGTATTCTACTGAAATCTTAAGACAGATTTGAGATGGAAAGAAGTTCTCTGGAATTATTTAACCCCAAGTGTCCAGGTACACGTATTTAGCAGTACCATCAGCAAAATCATTTTGTCACAAGCACACAAGGTCCCATGATACAGCACAGAAAAAACCTTGCTCTATGGATACAGCATGTACTTATGTACATGTGCACAATGGATATTATGTAACTGTAAACAGAAGAAAACATGCAGATCTAATCAGCACGGCTTCTGTTATGTTAAATGGCATGTAATTACATACACACATGTACATGTATGTACCGTACATGTATACATATACAAAATGTACAGTACATGTACTGTATGTGTGCAATGCCCAGATGTGACTGTGCAAATGCAGGAGGGAAGGTAATTACAGGCAGATTACAAAGCTGACAAGATGGTCACTGGGCTGGAGGGTAAAAGAAACCTACAGCTGTCAATTACATGAACATGTAGGACTGAGGACAGTCAACTAGACAGTGATAACAGTAAATGGTACATGTACATGCGCTAACCTTACATACCTACTGTGGACTTGTGAACAAAAGATGTCCACACTGTGCAGGAAAGGAAGACGTTCTGTGGACTAGTTACATGTAAACATGTCCACAGGAATAGTCAAGGAAACCTTGTACAAAAAGCCAGCTGAAAATCGTGTTCTCAGTTCAAGAAAAACAAGTGTTTTCACTGAGTTTTCTTAACTGCACAAAAAGAAAGGAATGTGCACACCAGGTATGTAAGGTAAATGTGGTGTACGCACATGTGCATAATGAAAAATGCTGCAATGATTAAATGTATTCCGCTAGTTTTGTTTCATACTCAATTTCACTCAAGCGAATGTTTAAATCATTTGTTCAAAGCACACAAAAAAACATGTGAACAAATACCTACAGGTACAAAGGTAGGCTTCAATAATTTAAATGTGTAACATGATGGTTTAGAAGAGATCCCCGGAACACTTGAAAACTTGTGGAGACTGCAGTCACTCAAAACTGGGGTAATTCCCTTACAAACCAAACTCAATATTGCCAACTAATAGGGCCTACGGTACGTGTAGAAATGTTCTTGAATTCCACCTCAGAAAAATAGACCATCTACAGTGTACATACATAGGATGATACAAGACAATGCATGCACAGTACAGGTACACCAAGTCTAACACAACAGTCATGGATGCTTCAAAGTCCTTCATCCAGAAAAGGGTATCAAGTGTCCTGTTTAGTGACAGTACTGTAGCTGAGATGTGTATACATACCTTGTGTACGTGTACAATCTACATGTGCTTTCAGCAATCCTACAATATAACCCCAAACCTCCTAGGGGATTTTTAAAGATCAATCCCAGAATGTTTATGGGTCAGGAAAAGAAACATAAACCCGTCAGAGATTTTATGAAAACGTACAAGGAAAACATGGGCCTTTTTCTTTCCTGATAAATGTTTTGTCATTAAACCAGCATATCATTTTATTTTAAAAAACAAACACTAAGAGCCAAGCATTTTTCTGGATTTCCTGATTAAATTGACATAAATCAAACCAACAAAGCCGATCAGTCTTCCAAGGGTTCATTTCCTCCTTTTTTACACCAAAGCGGCATGCAGGAAAACAATTCTCAAACAGCACAAGCCCGCAGGTCTGCGCTGGATAGGCCGAGAGCAGTTCACACCAACACCGTGCTGGTGGTGTCACGCCCACATGACCAGACATCACCAAAGTAGGGGATTTCACGCCCCCACATCACCTCTCAATACCGCTCCCATCACTGATTCAATGAGCAGTACCGTTAGGTCAAAGGCAATAACACGTACAGCGTACAGGAGGCACACTTACTGGCAAGGGGCCTGCATGAAGGATTTTCTTCCTCTTCAGTAAGAAAAAAACTGAATGGCATGTAGATGTATGCCAGTTTTAAAATGCACCAAACCCAACACGGACATTTGACTTCCTTTCAAGCCATCCAAAAGCTCTTTAGGGATGAGGGTGGGCTGGTGTACAATGTATGGTACACGTACATGTAAAATGCTCGCAGTAACTTAATTTTATTTTTTTTATTTTTTATTTATATCTGTTCATTCAGCAGTGCATTTTGCGCCAATTACAGGATGGCAATGAGTGAAGAAATATTCAGTTTCAGAGGTGGGAGGAAAACCCCAGAAAAATGTTTTAGGGAAAACCCACGGACTCAAGTAGGGACTGAAAACCCAATCCACATGTGGACCAAGCCGAATTCAAACCCAGACCTCAGAGGTGGAGGCGAGGCAAGAAACACTACGCCAACCCGACTCCCCAACTTTTAATTTTTGCATGGAGTGAGAACAACCCTGCTTTGGATTTCAATTTCAAACACTGACTCTTGTGGCATTTCTGCTAGGAACCACCCCTAAGTAGTCTTCCAAAATCTGTCACTGTGCAGGAAACCAATGGCGCTTGCTACTTTACTTAACTTCATGAGGGAAACAGACCCTCATCATAAAGTAACCTTGGCCAAGCTTTACCTGTCGTCAATCCTGCAATTTCCCCCCCCCTTATGGATTTGAAGGATCTTGGTGATTTAGGGACAATTTTATCACAACTTGGCTAACTCCCCTAAAATCTGACACATTGGCATGTTATCGTTCAACGGATTCAGGACTATCTGGCCTAGCACTATTGGACGAAATCTTAAGGCTATAGCTGGAAACAACGAGTGCCTGTGGCAGCCGAGCTACATGTACTGTACATTGTGGCTGCCGCCATTTCCCATAGCCTTGTGCGCATTATTGCGTGTCATAGCTGACGGCTTCACTTCACATGGGACTTTGTGTCTCAACCTTGGTTACGTACATTGTACTAACATGAATGTACTAAAACTGTGCCATTGGCAAAATGCACGACTTGGGCAGATCAAGGAAGCAAAACTGCCCGTGGTGTTAGAGTTAATCTCCAGCACTGCACAGCTGTTGGGACTACGTTTTAACCCCGTCCTCGTCTGATCACCTCCAAATGTCAATCCAACTGAAAATGCTGGCCCAGGGCTCTCCCATGTGCAAAAGTCATAATAAAAAATGTTGCCCCTCACAAGCCAAAACATGACAATGGGCTTGATATTTAGGCGACGAGGAACCACAGAGTAGTGGTGGCTGTTCTTGAGAAAATGTCAGAGTGGAGTACATGTATATACTTTTCACAGCCTTCACTCCACAGTGTAATCGTACTGAGGTGGACAAAAGGTGAAATGCATTCACTGCCTCTGACGCAAGATGTATTCAGATACATTGGCAGAGGAAGAGGGGGCCTACAAATGCAGAGCAGACAAAGGAGACGTTACCTGTATTACATTAGGGACAAAGCCACGCTGGTACATGTAAATGCATGTTATATTCAAAGTGGGGTGGCCATTTCTCACTGTGCTAGGGCTTGCCAAGCTCATTCGATTTTCTTAGATTACAAAAAATTAGTGCTTTGCATGGAGCAAAAGAAAAAATGTTGGCACTCGTAGGAACCTTCTGCTCGGTAGCTTGCAGTGACACCATGTCATAAGGGAAATTTGTTTGGGGGGTGGTCTCTAATCTGTACCATTTCTACAACAGTTCCAGTTTAACTCTTCCTCATGATGAAACCAAGGATTTGTCACAGCCCCACCGGGCAAATATCACAACAGAAGACAACAATGATCCGTTTTCAAAATACTGGAGATCCGCTATACCGTATGCCACAAAGAACTTACCAGGGAAGGTTCAATTGTTTTGCAGTGCACTGTGGGAAATGGTTGACAAATTCTACTCACTGGTTGCACACTAGGGACTTGAATTATTCCAAATGTTTGTGAGGATAGAGGATTCATAATGTGCACATTCTTAAACAGCAGTTTTAATTAATACCTTCTTTTTCCTATTGCACAGAATGTTTAGTTTAGTTTATTTATTTCCATATCTTAAATAAAAAATCACATGACTTTAATATCAAAATAACAGAAATGATATGAGGATTCCAAACAAAAAGTGAACGCTTGTAAGAGATCTGGAACCTGTTTCTAATTATTTAAATAATGGGCTATTAATTGTATTACAAGGTCAGAAAGAGAATAAATTATCCATGTTTGCATTAATAATCCTGTTTCATATTAACTAAATAAGAGTCTACATCAATAACTACAAGGGATGGAGTGAACTACTCAAGTAAGAAATAATGTCTAAATTTAAAAAAAAAAATTCCCAAAGTTGATTACTGACGTACGTTCAAATGCTTTTGTCCACCGTAAATTCGAAAAATGTCACTGTTAATTGCCTCTGTTGGCAAAAAATCATAAGTGACATTTTGGGGAAAGCCTGTAAGATCAGACAGGGCCTAAAAGCCCAATCAACATGTTGACCTGGGTGGGATTCGAACCCCCACATAAAGATGTGTGTTGAATGCACCACTAAACAGTCAGTGCCAACCTCTAGACTCAGCAGGTTTCAGTGACAAAGAGAACAGTCTGTTCTGAATACCCAATTAACAAATTCTTTAAGAACAGCTACACGTGCATGTATGTCTCTTCCTGGCACCTCCAAAACACCTTTCCTGCATTCAACTATGGATGAAAGAACCTATGACGTCAAAAAAAGGTCATCAGCATCCAAAGATGTCAACACACTGATTCTAACGTCAAACTGTCTCGCCCGACCCGACCCGACCCAGGCAAGACCTAATGAAAGAGTTAGCAGAGAAGGCAAAACATTCAAGATGTTGTCTGGAGACTCGTCTCCTTTTAACTGTACTGTACATGTGCAGAGAATTTTTTTTTTTTTTAACAAGACTGGTCCAAATTGAATGATAGCAATAACAGGAAATACAGTTGACATTTAGCTCAGCTCAAGTACTTTATACCTTAATCACTTGGCAACAACCTAGCTTTGAAAGTACATACATATAACCTCTTTACCTTTCAAACTCTCAAAGTGTATAATTGGTATCAGACATTGAAAAAATTGGCTAAATAGTGAGACTCCACGGCACACTGTCTTTTAACAACACCAGACAAAATTTCATGATGTCCCATTTGTAAAAATACATGTAACAATGATTATTCAAAATGGCCTACTCAAAATGGCCTACATTCAGAAATCAAAAACATGCAGAACATGAAAAAAGTGGGGGATCCTGCTGGACCTGCACATACCAGACATTTTTTCTGGGGCATGCCTCACATTCTACCGAGCCCAGGGACTTAAATGTCATCTAAGTGCAGGGCCAGACCCCAAGCGGCTCGGTATGAGCTTTCTGCAGCCCAGCTTAGCGCCCTGATAAATGTCAAAGATGCAGATGCTGATGGGTAGTAGCAGACTGCCGCATTCAACAGGGCCCGATCCCGGGGTTTTGAGTCTGGGGAGGAAATCTGACATCTTAAGGGGGGGAAGGGGGAAGGTCGCCTGTCTATGCCCCGCTATTGTTTGGCAGCTTTCTGTAATGGCAGCATCTTCTTTTCTCCCCGAAGGCTAAGAAGGAACACTATGTTGATTGATGGCATCAAAAAACAGAATTGTCTATCTCTGTAAGACTTATACATGCACATGTACGTGAAGGTGTTCAGTAGGGTCTAGGGCAGGTGAATTTAACCCTAACTCCCCAAGGGTTGCTAGCCCTAACCTTCCCCATTCACACAAAGTTAAACACCCATATGGGACTTTGCGCACAGAGGCTGTTGGACTTCGTTTTTCTGAGGTATGCCAAACCCAATGCAAAAGCCAACTGTTATGGGCCTATCCGCACAGAATTTAACACCTTACCACTGTTTAATTCTGTGTGGTTGGGGAAGGTAAGGGTTAAAGCATACACATGTACTGTACATTCATGTACATGTATACACCAGAACATACACACTGTGAGAGGACGTTGGTTTGCAAATTTTACCCCAGAACTATATGTACAGATTAATAGCAGTTTGACTTCAGAAAGAGAATCTCACTGCTGCATGTTTAATAACCACCGGCACTGTGCACATCTGTAAATGTCATTTATCCACCAGAGAAACCATAGCCTCCTCAGGGAAGGGCATTAAGTCTTGTTTTCAAATTACTATTTCCACTAATCATCATTATGATATAACACTTATTTCTTTGATTTCCTTGCTGCAAAGAGTGTCACTTCATGAGCTCCGCTTCGGGACCAGACGAATGATCTGTAGAAAGTATACATACTGTACTTCTTTTCCTGTCATCCTGTGTAAAATGCTCATGTACACCCTGCCAAACCTCTGAAATACTAAAATGTCTTTCAAGCTAGTGCAAACCCATACCACTGATTCCAGAGGAATCAGGAAATGGAGACTGGTCTTTGTTGACAGAGAGTTCGACCGAAATACATGTACTGTAGATGTATGCTACTTCTGAAAAGTTGAGGATACCGACATCAATAAATGTAAACCGTGAATGCAGCAATGCTCATCAACTCAAGCATCAATACCGCGAGATGTCGGCAGAGAAACAGCTTTGCAACTGAAAGGTTACGGACTGTTGCATTTTGTATAGTTGATGCCTGGCAGGGCCTATAATCCTCTGTAAGGTATGCTTTGGGCATATAAATAGAGCCTTGGTCTATGATCAGTGCTCTATAGGAAGGTAGGAAAAAATATGGTGTAATTGAAACACAGTATTTTGTCCAACACTGCACAGCTGGCAAAGATCTGAGTTTTTACATAGTTTCTTGACATCACAGACAAGTACATGTACTCCATTAGAGCAGCAGAAGAATGCAAGAACATTTGCAGTTCTGTCCTCAGAGAAGGAGGAAAAATGTTTACAATTTGAGGCACTGGGAAGACGAGTTACTTAACTCAAGATACAGGGTCCTTTTTTTGCAAACTTCTGTTGCATTCTTTTGTATCCATTGGTAGAAAACTTTCATGCATTTCAAGCAGTGTTGTAGTCGAGACCTTTATGTCCGAGACCGAGACCAAGGCATTCGAGACCGAGACCAGCTCTTTCAAGACCCAGACCAGAACTTCGAGACCGAGACATTTGCAGTTCGAGACCGAGACCTCAAAAAAAGGTCTCGAGACCGAGACCAGGTCTCGAGACCTCCAACACTGATTTCAAGGCGACAAGTGAATGCAAAGACAAAGGGAAACAAGAAATGAGATACTTACAAACGAAATCACAGCTGCTAGAAGTAGAATTTTAACCAAAAGATCGTCAAACTGTTCTAGAACGAGTTGCCAAAGAGCTTTCCCTGAAAAACAGTAGGATTGATAATGACTAGTTAACAACACACACAGGTAATGGAGTGTATCAAAATTATCTAAGAATTCTTCTCTTAAATACAATACTTTAAAGACACAATATTTTGATATTCAGTCAAATGACAGTAGCAAAATCATGAGACAAACTGTTTCTCCAGGCAATGACCTCTGTGTTTAATTAAGTTATTAATCAACACCCTAATACAGTACAAACTTCATGGAACACAACCAATGAGTGAAGCTTAGTGAGAACAACCTCTGCCATTCTACATGTAGCGGTACATGTCTCTGTTGAGACAAAGTTTCTCCCTGTGAAAATGGCACTGAGTACTGAACATTCTGCAAGTGCATGTCTTCAATCTGCTACAATCCTTTTGACCAGTGTACATATGCAGTTCAACTATGACTCCGCCCAGTAATAAGTCATATATTCCATTAAACTCTGGCAAAGACACAGCAGGCTGACTTACTCTCTTCTGCAGGCAGCTCTGTTGGGGAACACAGTCAGATTGAGAGAAACAAGAAGAAAACAAAGGTTAGAAGTTGAAAGAAGTCAAAATGGAAAAAAATGTTCAACAAATTTTTGAGGCAAATCAAGAGCATTTTGTAGGAGTCAGTTGTGACCATTTGGTAATCTTCCTTTCTCTATGACAAAGTAAATGCACATGGGTAGAGATAAAATATGCAAGTAAGCACATACATGTATGTACGTGTAACTGGTACATGTTGGTGCCCAGTCATATTATGAATAATCAGGCAAAACATTCAAACAGTCAAAAATCTGTGTTTACACGTAACAAGTTAAAACTTCAAACTTCGTCTGTAATTTGGACTAAAGCAAATACCAAGCACAAGGAACACGCAAAAACAGTTTGGCATCCAAAAATACATCTGCAGTAACTATGGTAACATTACCAGGCCACAAAGGCCAGACTGGTAAAATTGGGAAATTTACCCTAGGAACACAAACAGCCTGACAACTGAAATAACAGACAATACCAGAACATTAAAAGAAATATCCAGGCCCTGGAAAGAAAGAATTCCATTTACAAAGCCACAAATTCTTCCCTGCAGTGATTTATTAGTCCCTTGAAAGCAATCAACTGTCCTTAAAAAGTCCAATTTAGCAGTGAAAATATTGAGGTATTCACATTTAGAAACACAAAGGTAGACATTTAGAAACACACCAGTCTTATGTGTTCATGTACAGTGCGACAAGTGATGTCCGTATATGGAATTCTTTCCCTTTGGAATTACACTATAAAACAGCACTAATGGAAATTTCTAATGAAAACATTATTATAAATCAATGACAAAGTTCACAAAAGTCAGAGTGAAAGAGAGGAATAGGAACTGACCGTTTGGGCCGTATTTTTCCTGGGCAGCCTTGACTTGTGTTTGTGACAATCCCTGAGATTCCTTGACATTGAAAAACTGAAGCGTTTCCGCTATAGTTTTTGTATGAGCCAACTCCATAGTGTCTCTGTTAGATTAGATCCTAGTCTTGTTTAATTCCACCACTACAGGTACCTCTGCAAACAAAATGAAAAACCTGTTTATGGAGACAGTCTGGAAAGAGTTGTGAAACACTAACAATGGTTTAACTCGGCCCCAGCAATGAAAATCTCCTCCCTTTTTTATAATAAAATAAGAAATCCTCATCTAGGCAACAATGAGCAAAATATCTTTCGAGTCAAGTTTACAGGAACAGGCATAGGCCAAGGCTCTGGGCCTACTAGATTATCATTCTTGGTGAAAACTTGGGGCAAGGCTAGTCCGAGTAAGTTGGACCCTACAAATCGCCATTGTTGCCATCGAGCTCAAAGTAACCATCTTGTCCAAAAGAGATTTGAACTGTATGATAATGTCCTGGGGACGACGTCACAGCGCGCTGGCCTGTAGCGGACCATTCACAAAAAGCATGCTGTGTCGGCACACGCACACTGCCGACTGATTCCCGAGTGCCGCAATGTCCGTCGCACAGTTTCGATGTGATCATAGCTACTGGACATACGGTGCTCAGGAATCAGTTGTCAGCACGTGTGTGCCAACAGCATGCTTTATGTGAATGGTCCGCTAGAGGCCGGCACGCTGTGACGTCGTCCCCAGGACATTAACATACAGTTCAAATCACTCCCTGAACAAACGGATGACATCGTACTCGCAAACAAGACCGTTTTCGATTTGAAGGGGAAATTTCTCTTTTCTTGCCAAATGAGAGTAAACCTTTTCATTATTAAAATCTCTGATTCTCACTTGATCCTCACCCGGGCGCATTAGACAGTATAAGGACCATTTTGGAGGTCAATTCAGAGGATTTTGATTCGGTACATGCTATTTTGAGTGAAATGAATTAATGGAAGCAAAAGCCTATGGAAGGTACTTGGACCCTACTGTCGCCCGACCATGTCCAAATGTTGAAAAAAAGGCGATTTGTAGGGTCCAAGTTACTCGGACTAGGGCAGGGCTAAGCACCCTAGGCAGTATTGCCTTTTGCGTATTGAATAAACATTTTGTAAAAACCACATGATTCAATCGTTATATTATCAATTGCCATTAGCATCCTGTTCCTTTAATAAGGAAACAAAGTCTACGTTTTCGAAACAACTTTCATATCAGAAAGAAATGAGGGAAAGGCTTTGGTTTTTAAGGGAAATTACAGGGTAAAATGGCAGCGTAAAATGACGCGAGAAAGAGCTGTGAACAAAGACGAATCGGCGCATGTAGTCGGATTCCTTGACCTGGAACCATAAAAGTTTCTTTTAGGGTACATTCCAACAAATCATTGTATTTCTGAGCGCGAGCTCATTAATATTTTGTGATCGCACAGGATTTTTACAATAAAACAGACCATAATCAGGAGGGTTCATTGAAATATTTCTATAAATCCTGAATTTGGGATAGTTTCCAGTTCAGGGTATTTCTTTCACAAAAACCCTAAAGGCCTATTTTGGATAGAGGCGGGCGGCTACATTCAAAAATGAGCGCTTAGTTTTATTGCTGTTTTAGAAAATTGAAACGAAAAGTGATCTTCTGGCCATAATCTTGAATTTCCAGTGAAAAAACGCAAACAAACCTCTTCACGAAAGTCAATAGGCGGCGCTATTGCAGTCCGATTTTGCACTGTTTTCTATGGGCAAGTATTGGTGTAGTGAAACCTGTATGAAATTCAGTATCACAATGGCCGAGTCAGGTAACCAGACGTGAAACAAATGGCGCGATGCAGTCGTCTTTCGCCAACCTCAGATTAAAAAAAAAATAGTTTTCTAGCTTAAAATTTAAATATTGTCAAAATTTATCACATCTAGAGCTACTCTACTAAGTACTAGGTCTAGGATCAAGGAATGGATCCTCAACATGGTCTGAATGTCACTCAGTTAGTTGAAAAAATTGACTTCGTTTTCCTTATTATAAGAATAGGGTTTTAATAGTAATGAACGCCCGTGTACACTGTTGTGTAATCATGAGACGGCATCCATACTATCACAGTATCAGTGTCACGCGATGCCACAGCGCAGATTCAATCATTGAACATGCATGAGTGAATGAACGTGGTGGCCAACCTATGTACACAACTAGTACTAGTAGTAGCGCCGCAAGCGCCACGCAGCATGTGTGATGCAAGCCTAGCGCCTACACGCCGTACTTAAAGAATACCGGTGAATTTTGGAGCCATTATTTCACTGTCTAAGCGCGACAAAATTGCAACACAAACCTTCAGATCGATTGATATTAATCCCCTCCACACGGACCAGTCGTTCCTTTCGACCCTGCCTTGATAAAGAAGAAAATTGGCTCCAAATCATCCACCCCGCCCGCGCATTTCGACGACATCCATGTGTACACAACTGGCAACAGACCTGCTTGCAAGCATGCAGTAGTATAGTTGTACGATCAGCATATGCGCTGGCAAGATTGCTGTCCCAGCATGCAACGTGGTATTAGCCGAAATGTTTAGTGTGGCTTTTTCTGATTGGTTAGTACAGTGCGTGTGCGTTTCATTATCGCTTTTGACCAATTGGGAAAGGTCATAGTTCCTAGTGAATGACGTCAATGAAAATTTTGGGCGAGGGATATCCTTGCGTGATTTGCGTAACCACGTTCCGAACTTCCGACCTATATCCCCAGTGTCAATTTTTTTAAACATCGATAGGCAGATTGATTGAATTTGTTTCCCACTTGCAACAAGTGGCAGTGAAGAAGTATCTTTCAACGACTGTAAAAAAAAAACACTTATTTATACTCCTGGAAATTTTTCTCAGGACATAAGGGGCATTTTTTAAAAATAATTTAGCTCCTCACCTCATTTTTCTGACAACTTTGATAAAATGGACAAAGTTGAGTATCATTGTTGATTACACTGAGGCGTCATTGACTTTTTCTGGAATTAATAAGTAAGATTTACGTATCATTTAGGGCAGAAAAAGCTTGACAAATAATGTTGTTGTCATGTGGGGAAATTCAACATTATCAACGCGCAATAAACAAATTATATGTGCCTTATGATCTTGGCAACAGCTAAGTAAGACATTACCAGCACTTCAACAACTGGACTAGATTTTTTCCTTTCTTTTCTTGTTCATATTAGTTTATTTAAAAGCCGATGTTTTTGCAGCCTTTTAAACCAGGCATATTTACATGCACCTTAAAAAAAAGTCATTGTCGGATTTCAGAATTTTGACAAGAATTTTTAGGATTTCGAATCGAGAAGTTTATAGTACTTACATGCTCCCGAATTAAGATGTACGGTAGGCTGTTCTTGTGCTCTTTCTGGAACTGCTGTTAGGTGGTCCTTTAACAAATAATTATGCAACCTGACGTTTGATAGCCTAGTCGACGTGTACTAGCTGCACCTTTCACTGTGCAGCGGTTTTATTGCCTCCATGAAAACCGCTTTGCAAACCGTGACCCACCACGCACGGGTCGCTCCATCCGTGATTCACAGGGCATGGGGGGCGGTCTGTGTAACCTTAATCAACTTTTTCATCATCTCTATCGGTATTGATTGCTTCTCAAATTATTCGAAGGAATTTCGGTATTATTCCTTTACGTGGTCTTTTTGGCAGGAATTGGAACTTGATTCCAGGGTTGGGGGAGGTGCAAAGTTCAACTTCCAGGTCACTCCACGAAAGTTTCCTTCTATTTCTCGGTGACCTTTAAAAATGTACCGTATAGACATGTCCTTCAAAACTTTGGGCCTGAGTGATTTTTTTTCCAAGAATGGACCAGTTACCAATATCTGCACAAACGTCAAAAGTAAATTCCAAACCTACTTGCAAATAGTATTCTACCAAGATGAGACAAAAAAACTTAATGTTCTCAGCTTTAGGCCGCAAGGGGGCGCTACAATCAAACGGGGGCTTGAAATTACGGATACGTTCGGGGAAGGAGCAATTCTTGTTTAGTAAAGCTGCCATCTTTCCACTTTAATCAGTTTCGTTGCAAAGATGTAATATGCACTTTATAGACACAGATGTATCGGAGGTCAAAGCACATTGATTTTGTAGCGAAAATGATTCCTCCGGCACACAATTCTCATCAATATTTACCAGTTCTTTACTTTTTATACTGAAGAAAGTTTACACGAACTTTTTAAAATAATACCAAACAGAGAGATTTTCCACAGATTCAGATTTTACGGGGTACATTTATTTAACAACGGATCATTCCACATAGCCACACGACTGCACTGTTTCAAATTAATGTCTACGTGATTATAATTCGCAACAGATATAAATATACAGGGCCTGCTGCAGATTGGTAACGAAGTGTCCGCTGATCTCCGGCTGAGGTAATGACAGCGGTATGGGTCAGAAAAGAGCACACAGTGGCAAAGGCCAGAAACATTACTTTTACTGCAGCGAGGATAAGGATTTTGATGCGGCGATTCCTCTAGTTTTCTACATTCTTGCCAAATTTCAATAGTTGGTTGTTTTTGTCCGTATTTTTTTCCATTATATCAATCCGACTCTGTGTAGTTTGATCATTCAAGTTTATCTTATTCACAAAAAGTGGCTTGAATTAGAGTTTTCACAGACCTTTTCCTTACTACCCAAAATAACCTCCTTACTTTATAGTAACCACTAAAGCATAAGTAATAACCTTTTATATGCAATCCAAACCATTACACAAAGGAAATACTTGAACTTTGTATTCAGGTGTGTAGAATAAATAAATATTTCAATAAATAATCTTCAGTTAACTAATTCTTCATTAAACAAATGCAAAATAGACCTATAAAGTGCCGGATATCCCTATTCATTTATTTTTTTGTTTCGTATAGACGGTAACCTTTTATCTCATTGAGTAGTATTACATATTGGAAATAGATTGCCTTTTCTTTCTTTCTTTCTTTCTTTTTATTCGTATCAGATGGAAGTGCCACTGACTTTGGGACCGTGTTAAATTAATGTAATAGCATGACAGAATCTCTAATAAAAACGAAGTAGGCCTATAAACAGCGCGATCTTTTTATGCTAAATAATGAGTGACCCGTACGATAAAAAGTGGCAATAAATCTGTGATTTCCTTCTTAAAGAATCCTTATCTTCAATTGACGTTACTTCAACCACTTTTTGATATACCCATGCTACCCTTTTGGAAGTAATTAAGGTTTATGCATGCATAGAGTTTTGTTTGCTATTTCAATGATTTTCCCCTATGGTTGATGACTATTTTATACTCTCTCTTGATAAACTACTGCAGAATTTGGAGCAGTGAACAACTTAAATAACCTTAGTATGTACTGAGATTAGCAAAGGGCGGATTTGGGGAAGGGAGGGGGGAGTTGTTTTCATAGGCCGAAAAATTGGGGGTTTTCCTGTAACCTTTATGGTCCTTTTGCATGAGGGGTGAGATTTGGGGGTTTCTTTTAGTTTTTTTTTTTTTTTGAGGATGGAAAAGAAAACAGACCAACAAATCGCCATTCTCTCATTTCTTAAAAAGCTCTAGGGGGAGTATGAGTACCATTGCCCCCCCCCCCCGATCCGCCCTTGGGATAGACCCATTAAAACCCATGGTAATGATACATTCAGTGCGAGAAAAAATACTTCCTTTTAGTGTCCGAACTCGCTGAACGCGATACAGTCTCGATTCCAGTCTGCCGAACGAATTCAGTTAACCTCCCCGTCAAACAACTGTAATGATCGCTATCAGCACCACGAGCGCCAAAACTCCAATCAAACAACCGATCAGAACTTGTTTCTGTAAGTAGAACACAGTTCGACGGATCGACAAACAGAAGAAAAGGAACATAAACAGACGGTGAGGGGAAGATGGAAGGAGGACAGTTGACAGAGAGGGAGATATTTAGAAATATGATTAGTAATGGAAGTGGTTAGTAGGCCTATTTTGTTAAAATAAAAAGAGAGCCCAAAACGTGTAACGTCGCAAAAAATTAATGTGACACCCATGGCGAGTAATCAGTCGGGCCCGGCCAGGGTGTGCATTGCCAAGAGGCAATTTTCCTCTTTTCTTCGGTAATTACTGGCAATTACTAAAAATTGGTGGTTACTTTTCTTTATGACGGGCTATATAATGTTCGACAACGCCTCTATTCGTCCCCAAGAACTTTGGTCTCGCCCACGGCAGCAAAATAGCGGGCCAAGAACACGGGATTTCAAAGAAACGCCACAAACATTACGCTTTGAGGCTTACACGAGGATGTTTTTTATTTTAATTTGGGTGAGGGCAAAATCAATAGTTTGTTGATTTCCAAGGCTGTGTCTGAAACCGGCTTCCAGGGGCTACAGCGTTGTCTGTCAGTGAGTGAACATTTCTCAACCAATGACGCTCTAGACATGCACGGCCTGTAAAAATGGGGCACAAAATGTCTTTGATCCATTCACTTCGAACATTACAGGCCTCAAGCGGTTTTTTGATGTCTGAGACGACGAACGTGCGTGGTTCGAAGACGAAATTAATTTGTGTCCTTGAAAAATCTTAAATTCAACTTGGAGTGTCAACAGAGGGCGTTTGGATATAACTGGTCCATTAGTCGCATTATTGGTCCTCTTGTGCATAATTAACATTTAAGAAACTTGGGAAACTGTTTATTTGAAAACGAATACAGAAATTCGGTTTATGTACAAACGTGTTTATCAAGTCAGATCTGACACAGAGTGGAGGACGCAGAAGACAAAACACTGAACCTGGCCTCAGAATGGCTTGACAGTGGGTTCTCTCTACGTGTATATATTTATTATAGCACATCGTCGTCGTCATTTTTTTTATCAGCGAACCACAAAAATTTCATGAACGATGAAGTCATTCCTATACGAGTACTGTGATGTGTCGATTACGAATTAAGGAATAACCCCCCCCCCAAAAAAAAATCAGTTTCGACAACAATGGTAAAAACACGGGAAGATAACAGTCATTAGCTGTCCTGCCAGGCATAAAATAATGCTCTCTCGTCTAAAATACTCTGGGCACAATAACCAAAATTCTTTGTTTTTGTTGCCTGACCTTCTAATAATTTACCTCACTTCGACAAACACAAAACGTTGGCGTAGTAAATTTAAACAACTGAAAAAAATTGGCTTGAAAGAAATCAACTCAACTTCTTATTTCAACCCGTCTGTCGAAATCTGCAGGCCCACGTTAAGTTTTGGACCAACCACAACGGACATTGTTTAGCGTAAGAAGTTTGTCACAATGTGCAAGCCGTGTCCGAAACGGACTTGCAGAGCTACGGCTATGTCTGTCGTCAGTGGGTGCCAAGTATTTGGTGACAGACAAAAACCTAGCCCTCGTTCCAGATAAATTTACTAATGGGAAGTGGCTACAATTGACTACACACTGAATCAGTGGACGCTACAAGCACAGACGCCACGTCGTAGTTTTTTGCCCTATTTATACCCTAATATATAAAAATATGCATTACACAGGGAATTTCAATAGAAGTTTGTCATTTTGTGCCATATT